CGGGTTCGAGCCCCGACTGACGCGAAAGTTTGCACATCACTCTATATCACTGGGTATATCTAGAACACATACCACCATTTGTAGCAATTAAGCGATATACAAAAACTTAAACCTCAGCCGGGAGTTGAACCTGCGTCTAATTCTTTCCGAGGACGTGCAATAACAACTGCACTTCCGGAGCCGCTGTTTTGCTATCTCGCTGAAACATCTGTCAGTGGTTCACTGCCGCTATGTGCTCACTAGGTCAAACCGTTAGCTGCTGGTTGCTGACAGAATCGATATCCTGAATAGCAGATGGATTGACAGTAGTAGAGGAGCACCGATGGCGCATTGGTTAGCACGCGTCCGTGGAGAGAGTGGAACGCGGGTTCAACTCTCGACTGAAGTCAAAGTTACGCATATCACTCAGCATTTTTTGAAATTACGATCGCCTGGAAGTATTCTTGAAACAGCGTGCGATTTCCGCTTCTTAAAAGACTCGTAAAAGAAGGCGTAGCCTTTAACTTATTCGATGGCTGCTTCCTTTTTGATCTCTTGTCCCCTTAGAAAGGACGATGTAATCGCACAAGAAATTGAGACCATCCTTCATTTTCACTCTCTATCTTATCAAAGGGAAGAGGCACAAATAGTATTTCGTCGTCTCCGGAATAATGAGGTAAAAAAAGATGAAAAAAGGGATTAAAAGGAAGAAGTTTTCGGGGGTACTTATCGGTTATAAGGAAACAACTGAAAATCCGACCTCATTAGAAGTGCAGGAATTCTTCATAGAATTGTTAGTGATCATTCCAAGGCTTGGATCTCTGGCTAGGGCCGTACGTGGCCGGTTTTTCTCAACACCCCTTTCCAACGCTGTGAAATCCATAAGAAAATTAGCTTTCACATCGGCCGGGCGCGTTTTTTTTCTTATCTCGCTTATATTTCTCTGGAGAAAACTCGTTTCTTAGAGTGCTAGTATTCCTTCGATAGCACAAATTTCGGGAAATCCAAAAACATGCTTGACTATCCGAAAAGCTATTTAATAGCGCTGTAGGAGAATGACATATTTGTGTTTTACACTACGTTGGACGGAGCTCCTTCTTCAGACTATTGCAGAGTGACGTGCAAAACATCTGCGTCAGGCGGGACTTGAACCCTCCGGTGACGTGTGCTCTATCCCTTGCACCACCGACGCCTGTCTTGACACAATTCTTCTTCGCTAAAACGCATCTATCCAACAGCAACCAATCGTCAACGGTCTGGCCCTGGTAGTCGCTAACATTTCACATCCATTTGTTCCTTATAACCAAAAAGTACAACACCTCTTTTCGAAGCAGTAAGCCACCGAAAGTGGAAAAGGTTCCTCTCTGATTGGACCGATATTCTTCGATTCCATTGAAAATGAGGAATATTCTCGTTGTTCCGAAGCCGACGAATTGGCATACGTGTCTTTCTCATTCGATCAGATTGAAGCCAGAAGTGGACGATGTGTTTTATAGGACACCTCGCCGTATTTGCGCGTTCATCTCACGATGATCTCTGTTTTCCTCTGTGGTTACGTCGTCCTCGTCAATAGGGAATGAAAGAGGAAGCAGCTAGTCAACAATTCGAGAGCAACATTTCCTTATACAGTGGTCCAAACCCCAACCTCATTCGCTGCAGCGAAACTTTTCATAGGAGCATAGGACATAAGGCTACAGCCTCACGTCGCCGGTTTTCTCTGAACGACTTTTTTGACGTTGTTACAGAAGAAAATCCCTTCTGCTTCAAACGCGCGTATTTCTCGCCAGAGCGAGCTCTTTCTTTGATCTATTAGTAATCAATTGAAATCTTTAAGAATGTTCAAAGCCTTGACCGAGGTTGGTACGCCACAGCCATGCACGCGTGTTCCCGAGGTCTCGCTCGCATCGTCAGTAGCCCACGCCCACATTGAGACCTGCATTGTAGCAAGGAGGGAGGCGCATGTGGTAAAGGCACAGTGTACAATAACACTGGTCCATCACTTCTTCTCAGTCGATGGATCTCGGCTGATAGAACAAAACTGATCCATGGCATCGACTGTTTTTGAGATCTCGCAATAAACATTCAGCCCATTTTCAAGAATGTTTAACGCCTTACCAGAGGTTGCTACGCCAGGGTCATACACCGGTGTTTCGGGGTTCTCACCCTCCTCGTCAGTGACCCACGCCCCACATTAAGCCCTGCATTGTAGCAAGGAGGGAGGTTTTTGTTCTTCCAGCCGAGATCCATCAACTGAGAAGTGGTGATGGACCAGTGTTACTGTACGCTGTGCCGTCACCACATACGCCTTCCTCCTTGCTATAATGCAGGGCTTGATGTGGCGCGTGGGTCACTGACGAGGAGGGCTAGACTTCCGAAACACCGGTGTATGACCCTAGAGTACCAACCTCGGTTGAGGCTCTAAACATTCTTAAAGAACTTATATTGAATGTTTATTGCGAGATTTCAAAAACAGTCGATGCCATGGATCTATCACTAATCATACTATAGCGTAATCGAATCGGATTCCAACGCTGTGCTTATATCCTGCAAAAACCTTTCCTGAAATGCAGAACGGCAAACTAGTTGGATTCCCATAGTCGATCAAGGGCCATTCGGCCAATTCACGTGCACAGCCACGTTCGATGACGCGATGGCCATCGATTTCTCGGGCATATGAACGCTTGGAGAAGTATCGCGTTAGCACTTCACGTGACCGCCTCACGCATCCGCACGTGAATTAGCCGGATTGGCCCTTTATCCCAAACGGGAATCCAACTTATTTTACCTGCTGCGTTTCAAAAAAAGGTCTATACAGGATATGGGCGCACAGCACTGGAATTGAATTCGTTTACGCTTTCGAATGATTACTATCAGTCTAAAGAAAGACTTCACCCAATGATGTGGAGTGCTGTGGCAAAAACATTTGCGTCAGCCGGGATTCGAACGCAGATCTCACTCATTCCGGGAGCGTATGCTAACCTTTGCACCAACGACGGAAAGAGTGAGATCTGGGTTCGAATCCCGGCTGACGCAAGTGTTTTTGCACAGCACTCCACATCATTGGGTATACTATATCCAGTGAGAAACATGCGTGGCATGAAGCCAAAAAACCCTCTCCTATTACAAACAAAGGACAAAGGACAAAGCTCTCTGCGTTGATCAATCCCTTGGGGATGCGCCATGCATTCGCCTTCAATTTTTAACTTCGTTTGAGGTGATTGAATGCGTATCTGGCCTTCACAATGACTCACGATGGCCTCCCGCTGAACCGAGTCAGTGCTGCTTATCCTCCCAGACAAGTCTGAGACCTGTCTGGTACCAATTTACCGACCCCGGAGGGATGGATGGCTTGGTGAGCCATGAGCGCGAGAGAGATCGAACCACTGACTTCGTGTGCGACGCGAAACACCTCAAACCACTGCGTCACAGCGCTCTTCTCCTATAACAATGTCGAAAAAAGGCCTTTTTCATAAACAAGCGACGTAAGGCTGCAGTGTCAAGTCTCAGCTTTTGAACAGTTACTGTCATTCCTAGGAAGAGATCTTTTCCAGCAAATGAGATCGATTTTTCCCGAGATCTAAACAATTAACCAAATAAACTCCTTCTATTTGACTGCTTCTAGCGGTGGCATGATATAATGCGTATGCCCAGCGATATAGAGTGATGTGCAATATTTTAGCGTCGAGCGGGGCTCGAACCCGCATCTCACTCTAATTGGGAGCGCGGTGCTCTAACCCGTTACACTATTGAAGCCCATTTTGCCACCACTCTTTCGATGGTGCGTTGTAGCGTGGAAACGGTTATGGCAAAACGGGTGCCAGTAGCGCAGAGGGTTAGAGCCCGCGCTCCCGGACAGAATGAGATACGGGTTTTAAGTCCTGCCTGGCGCAGACGTTAAACAAATTGCGCAATCCGAAAGAGGGCGATTAGTAAATCAAGATGGGTCTCAGAATGCTTCAGAGAAACTGAATAACAAAAGAAAAACGAAATAAATTCTCTAAAATCGTTGAGAACAAACGACCCATCATGAAACGGTTGCAGTTCCTTAATATACGTCGAATTAGGTGTAAAGTGTGTAATTGCGTATAAGACGTTCGGAAGTAATAAGACTGTGCATTCATAATAAGAAATTCTATAGAATTGCCGTTGACGGTTGGTTGCTGGCGGCTCCAAGATCTTCTTATCGCAGAAAAAAGTGATATCGCAACAGAAGTCTCGATGGCGCAGTGGTTCACACACGCTCGCGAAAAGAGTGAGACGAGGGTTCGACTCTCGCCTGTGGTTGAATATGTAGCATATCACTCAGCATTTATACAATCCAAGAACTCCTATGTTTCCACTGCTTCCTTGATCAGTGTAGGGGCGCCGTGACCGAGTGGCTGTGACGCTCGTCGCGGCGCACGTGGAGCCGAGCTCGACCCCCAACGCCCTCTGGCAGTCATCAAGAACACCCTATGGAACGCCGCAGCCAGGCTATCCTCGAGATTGAAAGGAGACATGCTCGACAGTATTACAACGTTTAAGAAGAAGACGAGCCAAGAAGACGACTGCTAGAAGCCCTGGATCCGCGCAATAAAAAATTGTGATAGCGGATCATGTAAATGTAAATGTAAATAATGTTCTCATTGATACGATGTCTCAAGTCCGAACTCGGACGGGAGTCGAACCCGTGTTACACCCATCGAGAGGTCGCTTGATACCACTACACAACAGGGGCCGCCGTTTGCTACCGCTCAACATTCGAGTTCTCTCTATCACAGCCATGGGTGAAACGCGGGTTCAACTCCCGGCTGAGTCGGAATTTTGGTTACCACTCGATTCTCTTAGGAACATCTGGAACATCATAACACTGCAAAGAAGCAGTAAAAACATAGGAATTCTTGGATTTATATAAGTACAATCAGTTGTCACCTTAAACTGGGTTTGTAGAGCGATTTGGTTACTCGACCAAAGCTGTTAAAGGGTGGTTGCTGATAGCTATGATAGAGAGATATTGAAGAATAAGTGGTGGGTAAGCAGTGGCTTCGGTGGTATAGTGGTAGCACGCGTCGCTGGTATGGATGAAACGCGGGTTCAACTCCCGCCTGAGGTCGAATTTCGCCTACCACTCAATTCTCTAAAATATCACTCAGCATTGTTGTATGCATGAGATTGTTTTCCTTGAAGAAGAGCATTAATCATCTCAATAATGTGAGTGAAGTAGAGAAGCTCATGTTCACCAGAACGGGAATTTAGAGTATTGAAAGTAGATAATTCGGGAGGAGAATCCTTATCAATGAAGGAGTTTTATAATCGCAACGATACATTTTGGTTTTACAGCAGTGCCAGGCTGATAAAACTATAATTTCAACGAAGTTGAGTGATATTCAAAATTCTGAACCCCAAGCGGGGGTTCAACTCGCTTCTTATCCTTCTGGGAGCTAGCGTTAACCACTGCATTATCTTAGCCTCTTTTCTGCCACTACTCCTTACGGCGCATGTGGCGTAGTAGTTAGAGGTATTCTGCGTCTCATGCAAGGTCGATGGTTCGATCTCGTGCTCATGGCGCATCCCTCATGGATTGATCAACGCCGAGAGCTTTGCCCTCTCTACTCTTTCTCAAATGGTCTCCATTCCCAACTCCCGCGCAAGCTTAAAGTTACGCATGTCAATAGACATTCTCGGATAAGAGATGTTTTGGTTCTTAATGTTTCTGTTTTGCCTATGAAACCATTTGGCAAGTGATGCTCATGCCGAGAAGGCTAAGACATCAATTATTTTATAAAAAATGTTACGTTCTTTACGACTTTTTACATGAGTCGTCTTCACAACTACTGTGCAGATTCTAGCACTTCCGACATTCGATCTGTTTGATCCCATCTTCTGTCGACGAAGGTTTTCGAACCTTTGATTGTGAATTCGACTGCTGCTTGAAGATTTTAGCCTCCATATAGATGTCGTTGAACGATGGACTATCGATTATCCTCCAAGTCCTTGGATGCTAAGGCGTTTTCCACATTGATTGAGGGATGAAGCTGATTTCACGCAAATCCAGTACCGATTTTCCTAGTTCGTGTGATTATTGGTATCATTACTACCGTAAATATCGTTATTGTTACATGAGGGACGTCATGTGAACTCCTAAGCAACAGAAGAGTGGATATAGTGAAGGCCTCTACGCTCGCATTACTGGCTTGAATGGGACTAAAAATAGGTGGAGAACATTGGTGACAGGTTGAGGAGGAAGAGGAGGTGATTTGTTAGCAGCTGTTCCGCCGATAAACGTCCGACTCTTTGAGTGATAACAGCAAAGATTATCTAAAAGACAACAAACCTCGACCAAGTCTTTTATCTCTCAACTATCCATAGTCCATCTAATCGTGAACATCGCTGCAGGAATAATTATCGTATTTCTCAGTTCTTTTAAAAAGCTAAACCTTTGTCCTTCAACAATGCTGATTAACATCTCGAAAGGAATTGTTTCCGTGATATGGCATCTTTTCCGGCTTTGAGCGTTTTCATTTCATTCATTTACTCTGCAAAGTCGTCAGGCACCTCTATTAATGTCAATATTTGAGGAATATGACACTTGTTTTATAAAAAGACTAGTCCCTGAATGACTTCGAAATCACAATATTTTGCTGCTTTTTCGCAGTGTTATGATGTTACATATATACCTTAGAGTATTGAGTGATGAGCAAAAACTCGGCCTCAGCCGGTAATCGAACCCGCGTTTCATCAATACTGGAGACCTGTTGAAGGTTGGTGGCTGATAGGTGACATAGAGATGTTGGAGAATGAGTGATGGCGCAAATATGCGTCGGTGGTGTAGTGGTGGTAGCACGCGTTCCCGGTATGGATAGAACGCGGGTTCGATTCCCGCCTGAGGCCATGTTTTGGCTCACCACTCAATTCTCTTAGGTGTACATGTTACTAGTCAATTGCTTATATGAGTTCGCTCAGAAATGAAGTCGCTGATCTTCACAATACTCATTTTCGTCATCGTTGGCAACGTACACTCTTGCGCAAAATTCGACAAGAATGTGAATATGTTTTGCAAGTTTCCTGGCGAGACTAATCCTTGCTTGACACCCAGTGGTAGGTACAAATCGATGTAGATTGGTATTACTACGATTAAATGAAAGTTCAATAATGTCGTAAGAATTCATTACAGCTCAATCATTCGCATCATCGTGTTGTGCAAGCAAGGGTGGATGTAATTCAATGGAATTTCCGAAAGACAAGGTATGATGGTTATTGTTTGAAGCGAGTTGGGAAAGATGCGAGTGACTAGAATTTAGTATTTTGTTTGAATTACTAGATTTATCTCCTTGTAAAATATTGGATATCCTTTCATTATTATTTGAGCCAACATGTCATGTGGTCTGGTAAGGGCTCTTGTACAGCCCGAGACACGTGTTTCGTCCTTACAGACTCGTCAGTCGGGCAGAACCCGCCGTTGTCGATCTTTTTATAGTCAGTTCTCTCGGGAGCCTTACACTCCTTATAGAGAGTTAACGACGATGTATGCTTTACACTCTAGGTCAAGTGAAACCTTCACCTAACCCAGAGTGTTGTGCACTTGATTGCTCATTGGCTGGTACTTTTATCATAATAAGAACTTACTTTTATCTTTATATTACTTTTATACTATACTTTTAACATAATAAGAGAACTGACTAATACTTTTATCATAATAAGAGAACTGACTATAAAAGGATCGACAGACGACGGGTTCTGCCCGGCTGATAAGTCTGTAAGGACGAAACACGTGTCTCGGGCTGCACAAGAGCCCTTACCAGACCACATAACAAGTTGGCTCAAATAATGATGAAAGGATATATTGAAATTTGAGCGTGGTCTAAAGAAAGCACTCGAAATAAAGGTATAATCACGGGATACTTTATCATTGACTTCGCAGGGATGGCAAAAGGTTAAAGGATAGTGCTCCCAACTTTCATGAAATTATGAGTGGTGTGAGATTCTTGCGATTTTTTTCAACATTGTGGAGGCTTCAGAATGCATATTTAGTTTATACACTGACTTGCGATGGCCTGTCAATGTGCAAAGTCAATGTCGTTATCCTCCTAGACAAGTCTGGAACCCACTTGGAGACCTCGGAGAAATGGAGCACTTGATCAACCTGGTGCACGGGGTGGAGTAGTGACTACGTGTGTGTTGCAGGCCACCCTCAACCACTAACTCTAGCCAACCACTGTGTTCCCAGCTCATCAATATAACATGATATTTGCGCGCTGGACATTGAATAATCGCTTAAAATCTTCCATGTCCTGACTCCGTTTGTAGCATCATAGAAATATTTTATTACATTTTTCGCCTCAACATACGCTGGCTAGGTTCAAAATTAGTGTTCTCTCACATTGTCACTTGTAAGCCAAGCACAAGGTAGTTATATCACAATTTATTCGAAAGGCTGATGTTTTGACGGTCTCACCCTCTTTGACTAAATTCAGTTCTCTACGACTTAGTTAGCCAAAAACGTCTACTACCAACAAAAGAAAGCACTAAACCTACATTTCAATCGCGTCGAAAGCAAAACAGCTTTTCGAAATACTTGATGCTTTTATGAATTTTCCACTGAGTTGTTTACTTGGAAACCAATCGTATAAAGATCACATAGATTGATAATGGACCTCTCACACAGAAGCAAGTCTAGTATACTGTCATACGATACGTCATGATAAGCCAGTCCTCCGATTCATGTTCGGGTTCCACGAATTTTTCCATAATGTATTGCGAATTTTTCCCATTGGGTTTTTATTCGTGTTTGAAGATGATTCAATGCTTCAAATTTTGAGAGAAACCTGATATCAGATTGTCTACCTTGGAGGGATGTGAGGCTTGGTTAGCCTGGGGTGTATTTGAACCGGCAACCAATTGGGTCTAGTAAAACATCTCTGGTCGCGAGATTGGTCAACGGACACGAGGAGCGTATTTTCTTCTTGTAAAATTTGTTTATTTTGAATGAAATGTTACAAGAATCTCTAGGTTGTACTTCCTGGGTTCGTCCGAGAACGCTTGATTTTTCCGCTCATGGATAGTGTGAGCAGTTGCCTCTAACTCAGACAACTATCTATTGTCCGAGCTTATCTATTGAAAACGAATAAGTATCATATGTGATAAGTGATACCTTCTCTTTTGAGAATTCTAGGATTTTGCTTGGATAGAAGGTGTACGACGCACTTCCTTAGAGGAAACCACGAACGTATGTTTAAATGGGCCTAAATACGCATAGAAAAATTGGCCCAGTAGTGGGGCAGGGGTCACTGGTGAGGAGGCCGAAACATCCGAAAGATCGGTGTATGGCCGTGGCGTACCAACCTCTACCTTTAGGCTTGAAACATTCTCTTTTTTAGAATTATTTTGAATGTTTATCACGAGGTTTTTTTAAAACAGTCGATTCTATGGATTAATTTTGGTCTACCAGCCGAAATCCATCGACTGAACAGTGGTGATGGACCAATATCATTGTGCACTATGCCATCACCACATGCGCCTCCCTCCTTGCTACAGTGCAGGGCTTAATGTGAGGCGGGAGTCACTGGCGAGGAGGCCGAAATCTCCGAAACACCGGTGTGTGGCCCTGGCGTACCAACCTCGTTTAGGCTTAAAACATTCTCTTTTTTGGCTCAGGAATTAGACAAAATGATACTGAATTAGGTGCCCTGTTAGGTCCTAAATCTGGAGACAAGTATAAATTTATCGGTTTTGATCCGCCTATAATCCCTGATCATCAAGTTGCACGTGCATCACGTAATCCCATGACCAACCGAATCCTCTTATTCGAGTTAGGTCTAAGAAAAGAATTATTCCATCATACAACTTGTTTTTAGAGACTTTCTTGAGTAATTTTAGGTATGCTGCTTCACGAAAGAATGTCTTGATCGTTGCTATCCAGGAAAAGATCATCGCATGGGCACCGTGTACTAGAAAGGAAAGTGCAGGATCTATTGGATTTCCTTATTGATTATTACTTTCGATGACGTCATAGTTCGTTTTGAACAAAGTGTCTAGGTTGAAAGTATAAAGTAATATTCATTACAAAATTGTATCGAATAGTAAAGCGATTTGGAATAGCTTTGTTACCGAAAT